AGCCAATTGAGGTTGATACATGGTTAGAATATGGAACTGACAGTAAAAGACCTTAATTCTATTGCCATCTCTGCCAATGACTCATGGGGGGGGCGCCTAGGGCAAGTCAATTGACCTCAGTTTCCCCATAAATGGTGATAATTACATGCATCCATTTTATAAAAACCGCTTTTTGATTCTCCAATGCAAAATGCTGCATAACTCTGGAGTATTATTGTTACTGCTGTAAGGCTGTAAATTGTGGGGCCTGGGAGAGAAAGGAGGGTAGAGAATTCTTTCTTGGCCCTTGTACTCAGGACAAAATTTGTGCTCAGCATCAAGCTGTCTGGAGTTGCTCACGAACGTGGGTGCCGATTTCAGGGCACACTGTTACAAACCAGGACACAAATCCCAAACTGATTGTGTGCTCTGTAATTAGATGTCACCAACCAAGTATCAAGTGTGAGCTCCTCAAGCACTATAAGAGCCTTAACATGGAGTCACAGAATTCCCCTTGAGCATTGTGGTCTATCTTGCTACCCCAGTTACCCTGTTCCTTACACCAAAAATCGCAACAATATTCAGGTTACTCCCAGTCCCAAAGGACCATTAGTTTACCTAGGTCAAATGTACCTTGGATCTCTCACCAAAGACAATGCTTCTAGCCAATTTTGTAATTAAACTAACTAAAGATGTATTAACTAGGAAAAGAGTTATTCATAAGGTTAAAGCAGGTAAACATGCATACACTCATGAGTTACAGTTTTAGGTTTCAAAATGTACTAGAAGCTGCAGGAATATGCAAACTATATATGTTCTTTAGGGCAAACCCAAGCCGAGCAGCTTGGGGATCCCTTGTTTAAGGTTAGAAATATTGCCTTCTCCAAATTCCAAGAAGCATAGTGCTACAGTTATTTCTGGTCAGGGATTTTTATTCCCTCCCCCTAGAGTTCAAACTGTGATAGAATAGGTTTGTGCATATCCCCTCTTCGTGGATGCAGGGGAGCAATCAACAAAGTCTTTATCCTCTGATGTTTCACAATGGTTTGTGTCAAGGCTGATTCCCCACTCTGGCACTTCGAGTGCAGAAGGTGGGGGCCTGCAAGGATTCTAAAAATTAATACTGGTCATTCCAGGCTTGTATTAAACTCCCAAAGTTACAGCTTCTCTCTCACCTTGGATGGGTAGATGCTGCCACCACCCAAATACAAAACCCCTTGGAACCCAGGAAGGCACACTTGGGAATTCCTTCCTGTGGGGTACCCTCAAGCCCTTTCACACACCCCCCCTCCGGGGAAGAGCTGAGAAAGAAAAGAAAGGGAATTAGCTATTGCCCCGAGCTAATTAAACAACATATGCACAAACCTCTTAGGACACCAAAAATCCAATCCTGTTCTTAAAAAAGGTAAATTTTATTAAAAACAAACAAAAATAAAGACAATACATCTGGAACTTAGGCTTTTGCTAGATTTAAAAAACCCACTTACAAAAATTAAACATCAAGAATAACCTTCTTGAGGTCCACCTTAAAGGTTACAAGCAAAACAAAAAGCATTTGGGGTTAGCACAGAGGAGTCCACAAGCCAATAAGAAATAAACAGAAATAAACTTAATTGTGTCTTTCTAAACATTCCTGATCTACTTACATATCCGGGTTGTTAAATAAGTAGTTCTATGATCTGATGATTTTCATATCTGGCCTTCAGCTTTTCACAGCATAACTGCTCCCTGTTCCCCTCTTTCCCGGAGAACAACAACAGAACAGACAAAGGGAAGTTCCCCCCCCCCCATTTTAAAAGTTCTAGCCTTCCCATTGGCTCTTTTGGTCAGGTGCCCACTCCCTTCCTTTTACCTGGACTTTTTAAAACCTTTACAGGTAAAGCAAGTAGAGAACAGCTACTAAGTGGAATTTTATAGCTAACTGGCTGGCTGGGTGTCCACAAAAGGGAGCTACCCCCCTCCCCCCATTTATCACAGTTTGTATGGTGTCTATAGGCCTTCCCTGGTTGGGCAGGAGATGACACGTCTTGTGGTAAACTAGTATTTCACACTTGGTAATGCTTCTCCCCTGATTGTGGGGGTTTCTAGTTTCATAGCAAACACTTCTATAGTTACAAAGAAAAGAGTCAAATATTATCTCGTAACTTGGGATACAGATATTATGTCAGATTAATGCATACAGCAACTCACAAAGATTTCATAAAGTCCAAACACTAAGGTTTCCAGCTATGCATTTGTCAGTGTTCAGTGAGGCCTAGGGGCCTTGGCATGAACTGGCAGCTGGTCTGCCAGCATCTCACTCTGAAGAATCAGATTTTGTTTCTCATATCATTTCTTTAGATTTTGTAACTACGCATATTAGTAATGTTCAGACAATTACCTAGTCCTTTAAAAACTACAGCTACACTATGGGATTCCCTGTCCTCCTGAAGCCGCGGCGTCACAGAATGACTTGGAGATGTAGGTAGTGGTTCTAAATTTACTTCCCTCTAATTTATTCAAGACAGTCTATGGTACTTATATTATTAGATCGGGCAAAAAGGTGAGACTGATTTAAAGCTCTGATCTTGCAATCAGATAAACAGGCTGGTTGATAGATTTTAAGAAGAGAAAGGTCTATTATGATCATTTAGTCTGTCCTCCTGTGCAACACAGGCCATAGAATTTCACCCAGTAATTTCTTTATCAACATCTGGTTGAACTAGAGTTTATCTTCAAGAAAGACAGCTCAGCGTGATTCACAGACTTTAAGTAATGGCAAATCCACCATTTGTCTTTGTATGTTGTTCCCAGGTTAATTACCTTCACGGTTAAAAATTTGCACTTTATTTCCACTTTGAATTTGTCAAGCTTTATCCTCCACCCACTGGATCTTGTTGTGTCTTTGTCTGCTAGATAACTGAGCCCTCTGCTATCAGAATCTGGGTGGGCACTCAAAGGCATAATCAAGTCACTTCTTAACTTTCTCTTTTCCCTGTACTGAGCTAAGCCCCATTGATTCCCCATTTGCAGGAGTGGGGCATTAGTTCTCAATGACTCTCCTCAGCTCCACACAGACACCTGACAATGAAACCTACACATTTAGTGAATTTTCACCATTATGAAAAAATCCTATACCATTTAATGGAAAATGACAACCTTAATATAGCTGGTATGAACCATCCCATATATTTAAGGGAGAATTCTATCCATGCTAAAGAATTCAGTAGGATGGTTTAAAAACCCATAGAAAAAGACTATTATTATTACAGTGTTATGAACGCTTATGACTTTTTCACAGTGATGGGATTTTGGCTGGGGCTGCAGACCAGTCTCCCAGTGACATGAGAAACTTGAAGTCTCGTGTGAATTTGAGTCCTGCTTGAGGGAAAGCACTCTCCGAATGTCTATCAGCTCAACATATCTGGCTGCCTCCCCTGCCCCTCAGCAACCCAAAGCTATTCTTACAGGAGTTAAAGAGCCCAATAGCTTAGGGCAGCTCCGCTCTCTCCTTCCCTCCTGTGAGCAGTTGGGCACTGAACTGATGGAGGCTGGGAGCTGTGGGGGCTGAA